GCTCCCTTGCTGCCCCACAGGCTGGTCCCTGCCGTTCAGTGTGCCCTGATGCTCACTGTTTCCATGTGATACGCAGGTAGAGTCCCTGCACATTTGTGCAGTAAGCCACAGTCGCAGGGGAGGGAACCCCCTGGCCATGACAGTTATTTTATTCTCTCATGTTCAAAACCTAGAAGAATTTTTCATTAATTTCTCCTACCCATACTCATTCTAATGTGTCCCTCCTGTGTGTCTAGCACATTGCAAAGTCCAAAGGATACAAGAACAGAATCTAAAAACAAATACATCAACAACGAACTATAATCAGATATGACAGATAGGTAGGTAAGAGAAGGACATACATGGGAACCAGCAGTTAGCATAATGGCTATGTTGCTGGACTCCCACGTAGTCGACCGCGGTTCGCGTCCTGGACCCAGTGGCTTAAAACTCATGCCGGGCGCGTGTGCGTGTGTGCCCAATGCATGTGTGCCCAAGATCCCGAGAGGAGAATGATGGAGAAGGGGGGTGATTTCTCGCTTTCTGTCTCTATGTCTCTCTCTGTCTGTCTGGCGAGCGCATGCGCTATAGCAAAAACCTCTCCAAAAAAAAATTTAAAAAAAGAGAAGGACATACATAAAGATGCCGTGGGGAGTATTTCCGGAGACGTTTATAGAGGATGTTACACAATAAATTTTCATTGGCTTATCTATTAATTAAATTCAGTAACTATTTATTGGGCCAATTTCTGGGTAGAAATACAAGAAGGAAAGGCCCTCAGCTTAGGGTCTAGCACATGGAGTTTGTACCTGGGGCCAAGTTGGCTGAGTGCCTGTTACTGTAAAGAAAGTTCCACCTATTTGTTTAGTTTATATACTGCCTACAGCTGCTTTGAGACTACAGTAGCAGAGTGAAATAGTGTAGCAAAGACCATGTGGCCCACAAAGCCTAAAATATTTACTATCTAACCCTTTCCAGCAGGTGAGGTAGACAAACTAAAAATTGTAACCATACGGGGATAAGTACAAGAGAACAGAGGTGAAATCTCAGACAGAAAAAAAGTCCCAAGAGAGTTGATGCTTGAAGAGAGTCTTTTTTTTTTAAGTTTTACTTATTTATTTCTTCCATGAGCAAGAGAGACAGAATTATTATTAAATAGACCCCCAATAGAGTCTCCACACCCCCAGCTTCAGCTAGCACCAGCCATAGGTATATGTGTGCCTGGTGTGTTGGAGAAGGTCTCGACACAAGCCAGAAACCTTCCCATGTGTGTCAGCCTTGAGGAGTGTTACATTACTACTGCACCACAGTCCAGCTCCAAAAGAGAGTTCTTAATAAAAGATAAGTGAGCCCTTACTGGGGAAGACAAATATTTCTGGTAATAGGAACAAATAGAATGAACCTGTAGGTGCTACAATTACATAATATATATAGGTAACACTGAGTATTTGTTATGTTCTAGCCAAAGGCACATATGTATACTTTATTCAGTTCTTACAGTATCTTTTTCAGTGCCCACAAATGTTATGATTATTTGTTTATGGAAACAGATACAAGCAAGCAGAAGTAATTTGCCAAGGCCTTATATGAAGTGGTAAAACCTTTTTGTCGCAGCCAGTAGCATACCAGACTGCAGAGCTGGAAGCCACATGGCAGCCATGGTTTGAGTCCTAGTCTGGCCAGCATGAAACACACTGGGTACACGCCTGCATGCCCAGGATTCTGGCCGGCTGGAGGCCTAGGGCAAGGGAATCAAGGCGTAACCAGGCCCTGTGGAGGGTGCTATTCTCTCCCTTTCTTCTCATGCACACTCACACTCTATCATGAACAAAAGAAGGAAAGAATTGGGAAATATTACCAGAATATTGTGGGAATAAGATCAGGGTCTATACTGATGTAATGCATTAATTATAAATATTTAGGGTCCGGCAGGTGGCATGGTGGTTAGGGTAGCTAGACTTGCACATGTCTGACCGCAGTTTAAGTCCTGGACCTGGCAGCTTGCTTTCTCACTCTCTCTCTCTCTCATCAAATTAAAAAATAGTAATAATAAATAAAATTTAAATTTAAAAAGATTGGTCTTTAAAACAATTATAAACATAATTTTTCAAGTATTTCTTATCTATGATACCTCTAAGCCTCATGGAAATCAAATCTGGTAGAAAAATGCCAAGTACGCCGTCCCTCTTGGGGGGCAAGGTTACTTAGAACAGTTTCAAACACTATAGCTCAAAACATTGAAGTTTTCTCCCCCTTTGTTATTTTAGGGTGGGCTCTGGAGCTTATGAACAAGTTGTGATCAAACGCTAGAAGTCAAGCTGGGGTCCTAGTTTCCCCGTGAATTTAAGATGTGGGCAATTGATATATCAAGGCATTTTATTCAAGCAGTTAAGAGAAAATGAGCCTGTTTTTAAAATGAAGTTCACCTATCAAGAGGAAGCCAGTGCTGACTTCTCTGAAGGCACCCACACCACCATCCTTTCTACCCACCAAAGGTGGGAGGTCTCAGTGTACACTGTGTCCCGTAGAAGCACGTGGCTTCGTCGTCACACACCTGATAATGAAAAGCCTGCTTTTTCTTGCAAAATGCCCCAGTGGGGAAAACCGCACTATACACATCTGTGTATAATTTTCATATTCAAGTGTAAAATCTGTGACAGAGGTGCTCAACATATTTGGGCTCTGTGTTTCGGTGTTTTTTGTTTTCGTTCATTTTATGTTTGAGAAACAGTAAGTAAATATAATTTAAACCCTATAAATTCTGTCAAGATAGTTCTAATTCCTTTCAGGGAAATCATCTATATTATACTACCTAGAGTATTATACTAAGTTTATTGACTCTTTGATGCAGTAACTGATATAAAGTGTGAGTGTTCATGTTTTGGGAAAATGTTATACTACAATTTAAACATGTGAAATGTTTAATAATAATTCTAAATGTATCAGTCATAAATAAATGACAAATATGTTTAAGTCTGAGGTAGGTGAATGGGTATAATGCCATTATGCAGGATATATTATTACCTGTTAATATTAGATGAGCTGCAGAACCTCTGTTAGTCAATACTCAATATGATAGGCTACCAGAAGGCATCCTAACAGAGGAGCTGTTTTAATGAGCTAAATACAAAGATATGCTGGTTTTGAGAGTCAGAATTTAAGAGGAAAATTGTGATCAGAAACAGAGCCACCTTTTCTTTGAAATTCAGGCCTCCTCTGAAACTGGAAATTCTTCTGACATTGGTAGTGGCTAGAAGATAGGGGACAGCTGCCTGACATCACTGACGTGGACGGGTGGTTTCCTCTGTTAGCTTCCCATGATCAGATACCACGATTTCTTCGTTACTGTATCGGAAGTGAGTTGTTTTAAGGCAAGAATAGAATATAACGTGCATCAAATATACCTTTTAAAATATGATCTGGATCGAGCCACCCAGTGGCGTGGAGGTTGAGGTGGCTGGATCCCATATTGCTGACTGTGTGGTTCTAGTTCCAGACCCAGTGGCCCTAAAAACATGCCAGGATCATGTGTGTGTGTGTGCCCAACATCCCACAAGGAGAATGGAGGAAAAGGGATCGCAATATGGCCATCCCCTCTGGGGAAAGATTTCTCACTTTTTCTTCCTGTCTGTCTGTCTCTGGTGAGGACACACACACACACACACATATTAGTATGTATGTATGAATTATCTGGATCTAGTTTAACAGCACAGCAGATAACCTTAGAGTTTTTCTGGTCTCATGGGAGAGTTTCCATGTTAAAAGATCTCAACGTTCTTGGAATCTGTCATTGAAGATAACTAATTCATCTAATACTAATTCCCCAATACTTACTTTCAAAATCATGTCCAAGAAAGGTAGTATGTCAGAATAGAATTACTTTGGCCTGGGTGTTTTCATTTTGGCAAAATGAGGAATATTATTTACTAATTACTAATTATATTGTTTTGGATATTTTAATATCCAAATTTAGAGTTTTGGAAAATACAAGAGATTTATGTTAGGACTTTTTTTTTTTTTTTTTGCTATTTCAAGGGTTGACTATTCCACATAATTCAATACTATTTTAACAAATAGATTCTTAAATTTTTTAAAAATGACATCCTGTTTTAGGATATCTTGACTGTTGAGAGAGGGATTTTCTGAGTCACTAGTTATACTTTTTATATTTTCAGATGTATTTGGGAAAAAATACCTGAATATTTTGGTTGAATCAGGGAAAATGGTAAAGATTTGCTGTCCATCTTCCAAGAGAACTAATCCATTTGTTATATATAATGGGAAAAAAATCAAGGGAAGTTTTTAATAGAGATACTGAAAATATTGTTTAGGGAGATATTTATTATGACTTTTTAAACTTATTTTTCTATTTTCAAAATATTATTTCTAGGCTATATTTTTATTGGTGCTTCTGCAAATTATTTTGCAGTTTTGAAAATGATAAAACTAGATTATATCTGGGGTTCAGTGAGGACATTCATTGGTCACATAAAAGGTGCTGTAATGGGGCATCACCCCTGTCTTACTCATCTTCGGTTGCCCTTGGCCCTGTACCCACTTCAAGACTGGTTCTTAGTATTTAAAATGGTACTTTTTTTTTTTTTAATGTGGAGAGATTTTGAAAAGTATAAAAATCATGCCTTTATCATTTTAACAGTCACCAGCTACATCTTGATTTATGTAGCAGTAAACACAGTAGTAAATACTAAAATATTTTAGTATATAGAAACATTGATTAGAAAGAAAAATATGACTATGTTCTCTGTAATCAGTAAAAATGTAGATTCATTTTCTTCTATTTTGTGTTTTATGAGCATACTTTACATTCACATTCCTTTAAAACTACCTAACGAGTGTTGCCTAAGCATCTGCTTTACTTTCTAGTTTTCCTTAAAGCACACATTGTTAATATCTTAACCATACAGCTATAGAGAAAAATCTAATTAAATACCAAGTCCACTCACTTTTTTTAGATAGGGCCCCACTCTGTTGGGATCTTCCTGCCTCAGCCTCCAGAGTAGCTGGGACTACAGAAACTCACCACGTCCAGCTCTTAGGGTAGCAGCATCTACCAGTGCACACCACAGCTGGGCCTCAAGTCTACATTGATTCTATTTTGATTTTAGAAAATCCAATTTGAAAAATTAGAGTCTTAATAAGTTGACTAAATTTTAGAGTCAAATTTCAAATCACCCCATCTTGGGAAATGTTTATGCATATAACATTTTTAACGCTTTATAACACTAATTTATGTCCTACAGAAAAAGACCAGCAGTATTTTGAAGCTCTATATTTGTGAGATAAGGAAGAGTCTTAGAACCCTGTTTGGGAGAATGCAAAGACCAGTTAGGAGACCGATTTCTTGTGATTTCAGCTGGTGATTGACACCAGACAGTTGTGAGAGAAGTGAAGGGCAATGAGGCCCTGGGCTGTCAGTTTACACCAATGAATGACTCCTCTTTGTGGTGTTTTTGAAGGCTTCTGTGTACACACAACCCATGTGGATTAGCACCTAATGCTCTGAAAAAGTCTTAAGAATTCTAAACTTGGAACCAGTAGATGACATAACAGTTACATCGCTGGACTCCCATGTAGTCAACTGCAATTTAGGTCCCAGACCCAGCGACTTAAAACTCACACCGGGCACCTGTGCATGCATGCCCAAGATCCCAAGAGGAGAATGGAGGAGAAGGGATTGTGGTGTAGCCATCCCCACTAGGGGGTGATTTCTCCTTTCTATCTCTCTATCCAGCAAGCCCATGCACCCTATAGCAAAAATCTCTCAAAAAAAAAGCAAAACTCTACCATTCTGTTCCAGCATGAAACTATCAGAACAATATCCATAACTAGATTCTTCAGTATATGCTTTTTTGTATAAAACTGGACCACAGAGATCAACCTAGCTCACCTGTTGCTAGAGGGGAAGGAGGGGGGGGGGAAAGTCCAACTAGCCTCCAGTCAAAACATATTCAAATACATTAAAACAGCCAGAAGTAATTTTAGACTTTCAGGTTCCCATGCTAACAAGACCATTTTGTAAGCGCAAGCTGACAGTATTATTAAATATTTTACTGAAGGACTCTATATAAAGTGTTAAACTTCCAATATATTTAGCAATGCTCTGAGAGACAGACTGGACTCATATGATGGGGTATTTTACTTTCTTAACAGGTCTCTTTAACTTGGGTAGTTCAGAAATTATGCTTGGTCAGTTCTCTTAGATGGTACGTCACGTGACTACAATCAAGTACTGTAATTGAAACTGTGTTATGCTACTCGTGTTGGCTTAGATACTATGCATAATGTTAATGGCTGAAATGTTAAAGAATCAGACATCTAAAATATAAAGGATGACACATGTCTATATTAAGCTTATTTTAATACTGCTTTGGAAGTAAAGGCCTTATTCCCTTATAGATGTGATTTCCATAACATGTACACAGTATATTTTAATTGTTCATGTGAGTGGTCTGTGTAGCTACTCCCCATATGATGGAGCTGACAACATTTTTAATTTACACAATGCTTTCTGTGTTTTCAAATGTTTATCTTATGTATATAAGCAAGAAAATTCTCTTGCTGATACTCATTGACCAAATCCCATCCAGGGGAAGACATTGAGAGTGTATACCGTTTGATTGTTTTTTGGAAATGTATCTTATTTGGGGGGGATCACCTTTCTCATGTATGTTCATTTGATCCTTTAGAAATTGACAGACTATATGGGTAATCATATAGATGTTTATGAAACATTTTATTGAAGTGATTCCATCAGTATTCTAATACGTGGAGAATGACCTTCATGTTTATATATTTTTTTTCATTCAACTGTACAAGAATAAACCCAGAAATGTTTTTTCTTTTTTTTACAAAAGCTAATTTTGTATTTGTAAAGTGTTGTAATAATGTAAAGATGAATCTTATACATGTCCAATAAAAATAATATCTTAAATGTTTAGATTTTTTAAATATATTTTAAAATATCAGTTAAGATTTTATAAGAAACATGTCCTTCCTGGCCAGTGCAGATTATAAAGGGTATGTGACTCAGGAGAAAAAGGCCTGCTCGTTGGCAGAGGATGGCAGGTATGGGCACTCTAGATAACCCTCCAAACTCCTCTCCAGCACACGGAATCATACAGGATCCCCCAGCATAACCGTCCCACATCTCAGCAGAGCCTAGGAGGACCTCCCATCTGCTCCCTCAGACCACCCTGTCCTCCCCTCCGGCATGGAGTTCCCAGGCCCAGCCTTCTCACTATGACTTAGCTCACCTTCCTTCAACACCTGGTGGTCTCCCTCCATCCATCCTTCTCTTTCACTTTCACCTGTTTTCACCTCTCCCTTTCCTATACATATGTATTACTTATCTGGTAAGTCGTAGTACATAATAAAATCTTCTGTTTTGAGTCTGAGTTTAGAAAATCTGATTTGAGGGGCCAGCAAGTGGCATAGTGGTTAAGGTGCTGGACTCCCACATAGCCAACTGCGTTTTGAGTCCCCGACCTAGCAGCTTGCCTTCTCACTTTTCTTCTCTCTGGCACTGTCTTGTCAAGTTGAAGACTAATAATAAATAAAATTAAATAATTTTTAAAATATGATTTGAAAAATTAGATTCTTATTAATAAGTTGATTTTTAAATGTTAAAAGTCAAATTTCAAATCACCCCATCTTGGAGAATGTTCAGTATATAATATGTTTTCTAATTATGTCCTACAGAAAAAGACTAGTGGTCTTTTTTTCTTTTAACAATTATTTAACTTTATTTTATTTATTTATTTAAATCTTACTAGAGAGGGACAGAAGAGAGAGAATGTGAGAAAGCCGCCAGGCCCGGGACTCAAACTATGATTGGCCATGTGGGAGTCCAGCGCCCTTAACCACCATGCCACCTGCTGGCCCCAAGACTAATGGTATTTTGAAGCTACATATTTGTGGTAGGATATGGAAGAATTTTACATACCCTGTTTGGGAGAATGCACAGGCCAGTCAGGAGACCCACTTCCTATGATTTCAGCCAGTGACCCAGACAGACTGTGAGGGGAGTGAAGGGCAGTGAAGGCTTTGGGCAATTGGTTTACGCCAATGATTGACTCCCCTTCATGGTGTTTTTGAAGGCTTCTGTGTATAAACAACTCATATGGATTAGCACTTATGTTATAAAAAAAGTCTTGATCAAGAATCCTAAACTCAGGACCAGCAGATGGCGTAATGGTTACTTCACTGGACTCCCACATAGTGGACCATGGTTCAAGTCCCAGACCCTGAAGCTTCAGACTCACACCAGGTATGTTTGCATGCATGCCCAAAATCCTGAGAAAGAATTGTGATGTAGCCATCCCCTCTCAGGGGTGGTTTCTTGCTTTCCCTCTGCATGTCTCTCCCTGTCTTTCTGTCGAGCACACACACAAAAAAAAGAAGGTAGGGCCAACAGATGGCCTGGTGGTTAAGGGCACTGGACTTCCACATGGCTGACTGCAGTTTGAGTCCTAGACCTAGAGGCTTATTTTCCCACATTCCCTCTCTCCTTCTCTCTCTCACTCTGTCCCTCTGGCCAAATTTAAATAAATAAATGGGACCAGCAGTGAGCGTAATGGCTATGTTGTTGGACTCCCATGTAGTCGACCACGGTTTGAGTCCCGGACCCAGTGACTTAAACTCACGCCGGGCGCATGCGCATGCATGCCCAAGATCCCAAGAGGAGATTGGAGGAGAAGGGATTGTGGCATGGCCATCCCCCCAGGGGTTGATTTCTTGCTTTTTGTTTCGCTGTCTCTGTCTTTCTGGTGAGCACACGTGCCCTATAGCAAAAACCTCTCCAAAAAAAAAAAAAAAAGTTAAATAAAATAATTCTTTAAAAAGTTTTTTAAAAAATCCTAAATTCTGCCACTCCATTCCAACATAAAACTATCAGAACAATATCTAGAACTAGATTCTTCAGTATATGCTTTTTTGTACAAAACATGAGCCACAGAGATCAACCACCTAGCTAATTTATTGCTGGAAGGGAAAAAAGTCTCCAACTAACCTCTGGTCAAAACATAATCCAGAAAGGGACTAGCTACTGGCATGGCAGTTAAGGCACTGGCTCTTTATGGCCAACTATGCAGTTCACATCCTGGGCCTGTCAGCTTGAAAAATATACCAGGCACTTGTGTGTGCATGTCCAAAATCCTGACAGGAAAAATGGAGAAGGAATTAGTGTGGCCATCCCCTCTGAGGTATGCTTTCTCACCTTCCCTTTCTCTCTCCCTGACAAGGACACATACCCTCTAGCAAATTTTAAAAAAGAAAATTAAACCTATTGCTAATACATCATTTGGCTTGTAAAACAATTTTAAAAATCAGAAGAATTTTGTACAATAAGAAATCATTGGTGGACTTCATCCATCCTAAATTATGTGAAATGTAATAAAAATTAGGAAGCATAAACAGGCTTAAATTTAGACCTTCCCGGGATCAGTGATCTCTATTCCACGTGAATTCATGAAATAAAGATATGTTGGAGATCTGCATGAATTAGTTTAGACTTCATTCTTACGCAATTATAACTCAGCTAGGTTGAAAGGTTGCCTCAACCATTTCTCTTCAGATAATAACTTCAACACTAGCTCTTTAAACCATTTCAACTGGTTTTCCTGAGAGCTCACATTGAGGAAGAAAAAGACAAACCTACAAACCTCTAGGATGTTTTGCATCCTTATTTAGATCTAAGAGTCCCCAAAGCTGTACAGTCACTTTAAGTAGGAAAAGTGTGCCACCTTCTGGGCACTGAACCTCAGTGACAGCTCAGATCTACCTATTCATCTACTCTTTCCTGTATATTCCATGGGATGACGACCAAAGACAATGATGCATGCATCTTATATTATTTTCAATAAGAATTTTAAGTAATTTGAAATAGTTGCCCCCCCCCAAAAAAAGAGTTTAAAGTATTGCTTTTGTTTAAATGAGGTAAAATTGTGTGGGATTAATGAAAAATGCTGTAAGTATGGCCCCATGAGGATTTCTGCTAGCAGTCACCGAAGGAGCAGCAGGACAAAGGGCACACAGCAGAACTGGACAAAGACACGGCAGTGGAGAAACACAAGGCCTGTCCAATGAAAGCCAAGAACCCAATGGGTCAAGGATCACGTGTGGAAACAGGAAGTGTTTTTGAAAAGGCAAATAAACGATCACAGCTTAATTTGACCAACACTAGCTGGAGCTAAGGCATGTAGGATGAAACGGAACAGATGGGACGAGATCATTGCAGCGAGGGGGGCAAATGGTATACCAAGAGTACCTACGATTTAGCGGGAACATGAACTCAGCAGGTGCAGAGACAGAGGGCGTGAATTAGTTTTCAAGGTAACAGGTGTACATCTGGCATGCTGCTGGCTTCAAAGACTCAACATCTACCCTGCAGAGACCAGCCCATGGTGTGGTGGTGACGGCAGGAAAGACAACCTTCTCAACAATAAGGTTCAGGAGTCAGAGAGATGGGGGCAGCCAGAGAAAGAGTAGCCCCAGCCTCATGGCACTTAACCGTTTCCAGGTAGGGGGTTCAAGTGATTAGACTTGGGCGAAATTTATTGGTTAACTTTGGAGAAAGACAGGAGAAAGGACTGACCCTGGCTAGACACTTGGTTCTAGCACGAAGAGCAGTGGTGAGTAGGAAGCCCCAGGGTGAACGCTGTACAGAAGGGGGAGGACGGATGGGAAAGGCAGTGCAGGTACATGGGGAGGGGTCTGGCAGAGCAAGCAATGAAACTTGAGAAATCAGGGGGTTCGCAGTGGTTACAGGATGGCTCTCTTCCAGAATCCCTTCTTTGTCTCTCACCTCACTTAACCCACTATCCATCTGCTTCATTATTAACCCTTTGAAGCTCAGTTTGAGAATTTCTGCCTCCTAGGAGGCCTTCCCCTTTCCCAGGCATCAGCTCTGCACTGCCACAGAGCCCATTGCAGACTAGAGGCTTCCCCAGGTATGGCACAGTTAGTTGCCACAATGTCTTTTCTCTCCGTGCTCCTTGGCAGACTTCCAAGTGGGCATGTGTCCTCCCATAGTACAGACTCCATTTCCCAGCTTCCCTTGCTGCTGTATGTGGCCATAAAGCTCACTGTGGGCCCATCCATGTTGGCACAGATGGTAGGGTACCGCCACATGATACCAGAATCATAATGGGAGTCTGGGGTGCAGTACCCCAGTCTACCTGAACATATCAGGCACATCCATAATCCTGGCTGGCTGGGAGGCTGTGATGTGGTGAGACCCTGTCAAAGGTACCCCTCCCCTCCCCATCTCATGAAAAAAAGAAATAAAATGGGGGAGAGGGTGCAGCTCCATGTCCTAGGGTTAAAGGAGCCAGATCCCACACGGCCAACCACCCTGGATGGTTCGAGTCATGGCCCTGGGTAGTTTGAAATAAACACTGGGTAAACCTGTGTGTGTGTGTGTGTGTGTGTGCCCAAGATCCCGACAGAGTGGAAAAAGGAGAAGGGCTTATAGTATGCACACCCCATTAGAGGGTGCTTTCTCCCTCTCCCCTTCCCTGTATCTATCTGCCTCTGGCAAGCACATGCAACCTCTGGCAAATTTTTTTTTTTAAAAAAAGGGACCAGTGGATGGCATAATGGTTACATCACTGGACTCCCATGTAGTTGACGCGGTTCAAGTCCCAGACCTGGCAGCTTAACATCCACGCCAGGAACATGTGCATGCCCAAAATCCCGAGAGGAGATTAGAGGAGGAAGATTGGGGCCTGGCCATCCCCCGGGAGGTGATTTCTTGCTTTCTATGTCTCTGTGTGTCTCCAGTGAGCATATGTGCCCTATAGCAAAATCTCTCTCACAAAAACAAAAGTTTCTGGACAAGAGGAAGTAAGCGGCTGTGTTGCATAACACCTTGTAGCAAAGCCTACCAGGCAGCCAGCACATGCCCTTTGTCCTTGTCTTCTCTTCTGCTGGCTGGAATATGCAAGTGGCAGCTAGAGCTCACCACCTCCCTCACCTCCCCGCACCCCCGTGCACTGAGGTGGAATGCTAAGAACCACAACAAGCGAGGACGCCTGGGTCCCTGGGGAGGCAGAGGGGCCACGCCTGTCAGCTTATCTCCGAACTCCTGTGCTTCGGAAAGAAGCCACTGTTCTCTCCCACTGCATAACGCTGTATTTCTCTCTCCCATTGTAATTACCTCCCCAGTTCCAAAACAGGCAGCTCCTGGAGAAGAGGGTGTTCAAAAGCCAGACAGTGGTCCCATCATGAAGAGGCTTCTACGTGCTCCAAACAGCTGCATTCCTGTTTTATATGATGTTTTAGACTAAGTACTATCAAAGTTAGAATTTGGCCCAAAGTAGCTAGAGAATTCTGGAAACATTTGCGGTTTTTTAATGCTTTTTTGTTATTGTTTTTTATGTTTCTTTTTCTCATGAGAAACAGACAGACCCTGGGCACGGTCTCACCACACCAAAATCTACCCTGCAACTGTAAGCCAGCCCCCCAGCCAGCCAGGATTGCAGATGTGGCCAGGACAGGCCCAGAAGCTGAACCACAGGCCCCTTACAGGGCACTGTGCAGCGGTGTTCCTACTGCCCACAGCACGGCTGCTGGGCCAGACTTTAAAGCTACTCTTATCCCCTGGGAAGAATTATCTATTTAATTTTATTTATTTTTTTAATTTCTGCTATATGGTATGTGCACTCAGCAGAGAGAGAGAGAGAGAGAGAAGTGAGAAAGCAAGCTGCCAGATCCGAGAGTTGAACCAGCCAGCCCTGTGAGAGTCCAACACTTAACCACCATGCCACCTACTGACCCCCTGGGAAAGATTTTAAACAGCATATTTGATAACCTTCTTTAAAGTTTTTAATGCCACATTCAACAAGGCTTTAACACACACAAAAAAAAATACAGATAAATTCAAAATTTAACACTTCTACCATGCCCAAATTCTTCATTCTTGAGAAAACATCAAAAAGTTCCAATTTCAAAGGAAGGCACACCACGTTTAGTTAAACCCTCATCTTTCTCAGAGTTTACAAACAACCTGGCTGGAGGTCGAGCGTATCTGTACACTAGCTTTGGACATGGACCTTTGTGTTAAAACTCTTCCTAAAAGTTACCTGAATTATGACTACACCAAAGTTCAAATTAAATTTGAAGTGAGCCCAACTATCACTAAGACCTTGAATTTCAGGAAATAAGGATGGCTCAAAAATCAAACAGATAATCAAAATAATCGTGCAAGTCGACCATCACTGCAGAACCGTCGCTGCTCAAGCCCACGGCGTCCGCAATGACTGACCTCATCATCTCTTCGTCAGCACACAAACGGCTTAGCTTGGGATAAGCAAGGAGTCTTTGCAGGGGCACAAAAAACTTATCTCCAATGCAGAAGGGCTTGGGAGACGTCTTTATCCTGGCTTTTTCAACCTCTGAGAAGACCGGTCCAAAGCATGGGATGTGGGCCTGCGAGCAGCCAGCATCTTTTGGCTTAGTACCCAATTCCCCATCCTCTCGCTCTTTCAGCTTCCGCAGATAGCGCACTCGCAAGCTCTCCACTTGTCGGGACACTTCATTAACCAGCACAAGTCTGAGGAACCTTTCCTGCTGTAGACTTGGGTATGAAGCTGTAAAAACCTAAGGGGGGAAAAAGGCAAAAAAAAACAAAACACTTCATATATAGATTGTCCCCAACTTGAGTAATGGTTCCACTTAACAATTTTTCAACCTCACAGGGATTCTGTAGAACCCGTACTTCAGATTTTGAATTTCGTTGTTTTTCCAGTTGGCAGTGTGTGTCTCACGATGCTAGACAGTGACAGAGAGCCACAGCTCTCAGCCAGCACACAACCACAAAGGCACACAAGTGATAGCTACAGTGTGCTCTGCTCAGTAACTTACACGAGATAGCCAACAACACATTGTTTAAAAAAAAAGATGAGGCCAGCAGTTGGCATAATGGCTATGTCGCTGGACTCCCATGTAGTCGACAGCGGTTTGAGTCCCGGACCTGTTTAAATTCACGCTGGGCTTGTGTGTGTGTGTGTGTGTGTACGCCCAAGATCCCGAGAGGAGAATGGAGGAGAAGGGATTTCTTGCTTTCTGTCTCTCTGTCTCTATCTGTCTTTCTGGTGAGTGCATACACCCTATAGCAAAAACCCTGCAAAAAAAAGGCTGTGTCTTAGATGATTTTTGCCCAAATGTAGGTTAACGTAAGTATTCCAGGAATGCTTAAGGTAGAACAGGTTAAGCTACCTTGTTCAGTAGGTTAGGTGTGTTAAAGGCATCTTCAACTTATCATGGGGATAACACATGTTGGGCAGTATCTGTATAGCGAATTGTTCAAAGCTATCAGTAACTTTTGACCATTTAAGCACTAACTCTATGGGAGCCAGCAGATGGTGTAGCAGTTACATCTCTGGACTCCCACATAGCCAACCATGGTTTGAGTCCCAGACCTGGTGGATTGAAAATTGTAACAGGTGCATATGGGTGCATGCCCAAGATCCCAGGAGGAGAATAGAGAATATGGGATTGAGGCATGCGGTGATTTTTCACTTTCTTCTCGCTGTCTTCTCTCTCTGTAGTAAGCACCCTAAGGCAAAAACCACTAGGAAAAAAGAAAAACAACTACATATACTCATTGAATATATGTCAGGTCCTACTAATTATAAATGTCTCAGTTAAAACAGGAATCAAATATGGACACAGAAATTAACTAGATTTGCTCTTTTTTTTTTTTTTAAAGAGGAATTTTTTGCTATAGGGTACATGCATTCAAAGAGAGACAGAAAGCGAGAAATCACACCCCACCCCCCGTGGGGGATGGCTATGCCACAACCCCTTCTCCATTCTCCTCTTAATATTTTGGGCACATACACACATGCACCTGGCATGAGTTTTAAGCCGCCAGGTCCAGGATTCGAACTGCAATCAACAGTGGGAGTCCAGCGATGTAACCATTATGCCATCTGCTGGTCCTCCGGATTTGCTTTCTAAATCTAATGCCACAAATCTCCTACCAGATTTCTACCAATTCAACTGACCCAGTACTTCTACTTGATAATACAAAAAAAAGGTAAAAACAGAAAAAGTTAAAAGGAGAAAATGTTTCTTTTCCACCCTGCCTCTTTAAATATGAGAAGCTGGGGGCTCAACACTAAGATCTGTGATTATCTGAAATGCCTGGAACCAAAAGTGTTTTGAATTTGGGATTTTTCTTAGATTTGGATTTGCCTATACGTAATGAAATATCTTACAGATGAGACTCAAGGTTAAACATGAAATTCATTTATATCTCATATATCCTTCTACACAAAGCCTGAAGGTAATTTTACGCAATGTTTTTGTATTGTGGTGCTTTGGCTGTGACCTGTCACATGAGGCAGGTGTAGACTTTTCCACTTGTGGCATCATGTTGGGGCTTCAAAATTTCTGTATTTTGCAGCATTTCAGATGTGGGACTTTTGGGTTAGGGATGGTCCCCCTGCAGTCATTTCCTGAGCCAGAAAGGGGAGGAGCAGCTCTCCCTTTATGCAGACTACCCTAACAGATTACAGAGACAGATGCTGATGTATTGCTGTGCGGTGTTCTAAGATTCCAACAGGGCATTCTCCGTAACAGGTCATTTCTCATGCTTTTAGAAACGGCAAATCAGGTGTCTTAAAGGACACCTTCTGCCAGTCATCATGGCACCTGCAGTATTCCACTAGGGTGGACTTCAACTAAGGTCATTCACCCTTACCTTTATACTGGGGGCTTTTATCAAAAAAGAAGAAATGAAAAAAAGGAACTTACCATCCTAATAAAAGTCCCTGTTGGCCTGACAGCTGCTTCACAGAGAATACTCACAGCTTTATACACGTGCTGATCCAGCTGCTCTGAACCACACAACGGGGTCGCCTTTCCTCCATTCTTCTGGAATATGCCAATCTGGGTACAGTATCCAACATTCTCAGCTCCAGCTGGGGGTTCCCCCACACCAGTGAACTCCACAGAGTAATTGTAGCGATTGGCCATATACAGAGATAGTTCAATGCATGTTATCAAGTCAAATCCAAGCAAACGAGAGTCTCTTTCCACAGCAGAGCCATGATACAAGGTAATAGTCAAATCCAGATCCCGAGGTTTTAGAAAATCTCCCAAGAACGGTGATTGGCCACATACAGAGACCTGAAATAAGCAACAAGTTCCAGCTAAGCCTACAGCTGAATATGAAAACACAATGAACTAAAATCATTCTAAGTTCCAAATTCCTACCCCACCACATAATGGTGCATGCATTGCAGGTTTACTTTATTTCTGTAAGGAGCAGAGGCAATGACATGTATCAGCTTCCAAGTTACCACAATAAAATGGAAGAGAAAAGGAACATTATGGGGCAGAGAGTTGGGGTGGACAAGAAGACCACAGGTTACACCCCAATTATGTCACTGGGTTTGCAATTACACCAGGAAATGGAACCATATCCAAGGAAGGATACCTGGGCAGGAGCATGAGGCTGCCCGGCTGCCCTCACAGCCCCACACCTTCCCTGTTTGGATCCCCACCTTCCCACCAACACTCCAGATGCCGTCACATAAACGGTACCCAAACACCCTTTCCACACCTGCCCAAATGCATGCTCCCTTCATGGTCTTATTACATGGAAGTCACACAATGGGAGTCCATTTTATCAGAATAAAGAAACGACGTAAGCAACATATACACAATTGTGATTTATTTCTTAGAATTTTAAATTCCATAAGGAAGGATCCCCAAAATCAAATTTACCAGGTCTGAAACTGCATTCTGTTCCACTCAAATTTATGGTCTGAATCCCTTAAGGTCACTATTGGAAACAGGGGATTGAATTCGGAGTTTGGGGTGCTGATGACAATCATGGCTGGAGAGAGGTACCCAAATACCACTTCTGGAAATCTGGCCAGATCGCCTGAATCCAAATGTTCTATTCTAAAATGGTTAATAGGAAAGATAAAGCAAAATTTAGCTTCACTTGCAAGTAGTTTCCTAACTGATTTAGCAAAATAATATGTCCACTTGTACACTGACAGCTGTCTTCTTTAAACAGGTAACAGTGCTTCAATGACCCACGAATGATTATTCATGTACAGACTGACATTACTGGGACGACTGATGAATTTTATTTACGGACTGTAGATTTGGTAAAAGGGCTGTATCAGTGTTACACTTCCTGTTGGAGTCAACCTGAGGTTATCTAAAAAGGAAGTTTTGGGGGTTTTTCTTAGAAAATATAAACAGGGGGGGCCAGCAGGTGGTGTGGTAGTTAAGACACTGGACACTCCCACATGGCCAACCACAGTTTGAGTCCCAGACCTGGTGGTTTGCTTTCTCACTTCCCCACTCTCTGTGTCTCTCTCTGGTCAAATTAAAAGAACTGAGTGAATAAATAAAATTAAATAAATAATTCATTTATATATATAAACAAACAGAGGTATTTAGGGGTAAAGGGATACAATGTCTCCAACTTACTTGAGACGATTCAGATGAAAAATCATGTAGAACATTATACTTAGGGAAAAAGACAAAATAAATTAGATCAAATGTAAATAATTGGTGAGTCTGGGTAAAAGGCATATGAGTGTTCCTTGTCCCTTAATTCTTGCAATTTCTGTAAATTTGCAACTACATAAAAATTAAATATTACCCAAACAGGTCTGACAAAATCTTGCTGACTTCCCATCTAAGTGGGAAACTGGACATTGACCAAAATACTTCATGAGGACCTGGCCTTTGAACCAACTCACAGGCAAACCGGGAGCGACACTGAGTTAGGGACAGGGAGACAATCTCCTTCCCCAGCCTCCAAAGACGCCCTCATCACCACACTCGTGGGCCTCTATCTGTCAGTAGGACAGTGATGGACAGAAGCTTCGTGACCTTTCAACCAGGTACAAGAAAAGCACCGAAGCTAAAGCTGTGGCCAGTTACACTAGTCAGAAATGCTCTCTAAGCCACCAAATCCAGAAGTGTCTCGAATGCCCTTACTCGGGCTTTTTTGCATCATCAGTGCAAACACTACGAAATTAGGTTACAGCATAACACAAGTAGAGGGAACGTCACTGCTGTCTCATACACATACAAGAAAATGAAAAAGGTTGCAAGTCACTTAATAAGAATTTATTTCAAGAGATTAGGAAAAGGCGGCAAATGAACCTCAAGTAAGTAGATGGGAGGAAATAGAGGAAGAATTAAAAAAAAAAAAAACAATTAAGTCTATGACCCATGATTCCGATAATCCTACTCTCAGGTGATCCGAAACTTGCCTTCACAAAAACCTCTATGTGAATGTTTGTTAACAGTTCTATTCACATCACCCCAAGCAGGAAACAACACAAACATCCTTAAATGAGTAGAAGGGAAAAGTAAATAAAATAAATAAGTATATAGGCAGACAGATAGATAGATAGATTTTTTTTTTTTTTTTTTTTGGAGAGGTTTTTGCTATAGGGTGCGTAGAGACAGACAGAGAGACAGAAAGCGAGAAATCACCCCCCAGGCGGGATGGCCACGCCGCAATCCCTTCTCCTCC